TTCAATTTCCCCGTTTATTTCGACATTTTTTTGAAATACACAGTTTGTCACTTCAAAAAAACAAGAGTACAAATACAATTCATGGGAGTTTCCGAAATTGAAAGAACGCACAAAATGCGCAACATCGTAGTCTAATAGAGAATTCCATATAAAAATAAACAAGGAAGTTCCTGATTGAAAAGAAAACTTGAACATTTTGGATTAAATTCGAGAAAATACAAAAACGATAGTTGGTGGGCTTTTTCACACCGCCCGAAGTGGCTTTCAAGTTTTGTTTTGTTTTAAGATTTGCTTTGAATTTTTACTTTGTTTTACCTATTGAATAAAAACGATCAAAAAGTGAAACTATTGGATTGGTGAATTGAAAACTGCGGGCTATTGTTATAAGTGACATTTTGAGCACTTTCTTCAAAAGAAACCCATTTTGGTGTCAATGGAAAAGTTGTAGAGAATCAAAAATCAAGCTTATATCCAAATTTTCTGAACGATTCAAAAACTGGTTTTCAAGAAATGCCAAATTTACGAATTTTCACAAAACTTGCAACAAAACTTGGATTTTAAGCGAAACTACTAAGTGTATCTTTTCGGAAATTTGGCTATAAGCCTAATTTTTGATTCTCTACAACTTTTCTATTGACACCAAAATGGGTTTCTTTTGAAGAAAGTGCTCAAACTGGGATCTCCAGTCTCCATCTCCAGTTCTCGATTTTTGAGTCTCACACTTGTCTCACACACAAACCAAAATCCTACTACGAAAGAGGAATCCGCAAATTGCCTGTAAAATGGGCAGAAGTCGTCAATAATAATGGAAACTATTTGGAATGAATTCATGGTTTTATGTTGAATAAATTTTAGTTCAAAGTCCCGCAGTTTTCAATTCACCAACCCAATATTATTAGTTTTGAATGAACCGTATTCGCTGATTCTTGTGATTTTGATGATTCTTGTGCATTTTCAACAATAATTTTCGATCAATTTATCGAGGCTTATCAAAATAATCGATCTCCTTTTGATTGATATCGATATCGATAGACCAAAAATAAAATTAGACGCCAAAAGTTGGTGCTAACTAAAGTTTTGGTTGGTATCTTCACTAGTTCTCTTGACCCATAGCTCAGTTCAAAGATTTTCTCCAGTTTTCTAACTAGAGAACCGCCTAAACTTCCAAGGAAACTTCTTGAACTTACCCTCGGGTGCAATTCGATTGAAAATGATTTAGGTACAATTCGATTGGAAAAAACAATTAACTATCCAAATCTGGTGTCCAAACTTGCTTTTGGGGCTTTAGAATTGAAAGATTCGAGGTCAAAGTTAATAAATTTTGATAGCTTTTCTCGAGTTTCTGGCACAATATTTTAGGAAAAGTTATTTCTTTTCACTACGCCATCTCAAAAAAAGCATTCATACATACCGTAAATACTGTAATAGTACCCCACCCCCATAATGACGGTGCGGGGTGTTGCGTAGTCTAGCTTTAAACGAGTTTTTCTCGACACTGAATTATGCTACAATGCGCGCTTAGATATGAAAAAATAGCCCTGAATTTCAGCTATTTTTTGATACCAAAGACACATTTTTTGAAAGTACAAGCGCTTTGAAAAAAATGAAATACTAAAAAACTTCTGCGACTACGCGACTGTACGAAGGGGCTGGGGTACTATTACAGTATTTACGGGATGCAAATATTTAAATGATATAATGTTTTTGTTCAAAAAACGATTATAAATGCATCAAGAAGTCGAATTTTTAAAAGCAAAAAAAGTTGCAAGCACGGGAATTGAACCAACCCCAGAAAGTTCCGAGAACAAGCGCACTATCTACTAGGCTACGGTTGAGATGGCGTAATGAAAAGAAATAACTTTTCCGAAAAGACTCGCCAGAAACTCGAGAAAAGCTATCAAAATTAACCTCAAATCTTTCAGTTCTAAAGCCCCAAAAGCAAGTTTGGACACCAGATTTGGATAGTTAATTGTTTTTTCAATCGAATTGTACCTAAATCATTTTCTGAGGGTAAGTTTAAGAGGTTTTCTTTTTAGAATTTCAAGGCAGCGTTTCTGCGCTAAGTCTTATACCCAAAATTGATGCTAAGTTGAAGCAGTTTTCTAGTAAGTCAAAGAATCTGCATTGTTTGAGCTTACTAGGCACACTGATAAATGTCGATCAATCAATGTCGATCAATCAATGTCAATGAACAGTTGAGTTTCTTCATAACACAAGCTCCCAGAGAAATAAACAAGCTTTAACATTTCCTATCAAAAAGTATACCTCAATTTTAGAAAACTGTGAAAGACTAAGGTACAATCTACCAGAATTCCCATTAAAATTTCTCACGGAATCTCCTTTGATTTTTGGATTTTGATATCAAAAACTTTTTATAGATCACATGGGTTTTTTCGTTCTCGAGAAGTTTACACGTAAATTTTCGTGAGACTTTCTCGGGGTTGCTCGACAAATCGTGAACAAACTTGTGACTCTTGTATTCTATCCGGGTTTTACATTCACATTTTTGTATATAAATATGTTTGTCTAAAGCTTACGTGAAATCTTAAAGCCAAATTTTGTTTATCAATCTTTTTTGTATATAAAAGGGCTAAGATTCGGCCTGGTTTGGACCAGGTTTAGCTGGCCAAAGACAGAGATAATCTTGGTCAAGCAAAAACCCAAGCCATATATTTGCGTCACTTCTATTCTAGGCCTATATTGGAATCTAGTCAAGTGCCAGGTCTGCCAGCTCTGAACAAAGAGCCATAGCCCGGCCTTGCCAACTCGGGTCAAGCCACGAGGCCAAGGCCAGCCCATTTGGCACATCACATGCACTTACAAGTGCCCAACACTTCAGAGTCTCGAGTCTTCCAGTGTTAGCTTTGATAAGTTTTAAGGTAACCGACACAATTTGACTATTTGAAAGGATTTCTATTGGGTTGGGGAGAATGAGTCGGCGCCGAAAATCAAAGAAATTTCTAAAACTTATAGCAGACTTTGTCAAATGATATGCGTTTGATATCCGTAGAAGGGTAACTAATTCTCTACAAAATGACATTTAAAAGAAAATTCAAACAGCGCCTCCGCTCAAGAAAAAGCCATTTTTTCACAAAAACTACAAACTGTGATCTAGAAAAAACCATTGGTGGGATCTTCCTGCAAATTTGGCAACTTAAGTAATTGAATGTGCTCTATCTTTTTTATATAAACACCAAAGAAGGTTTTTGTGAAAGAAACTGTTCAAATGATGAGTCGGACTCTTTGCCATTTTAACCAGCTGCGTTTGGAAGTTCATAAACTCCACGAAAGAAAAGCTTTGTGGAATCTCTCAAAAGTGATTTTGTAGAGAAATAGTGGATCCTTTTGATGAAACAAAACGTGTATTTAAAGAAGGTTTTATGGGTGCAAAAAGTTTCTTTAAATTTCGGCGCCAACTCATTCTCTTCAACCCAATACTTAAAATCTGCTTGAATTGAATTCTTTTAAGAAAAACTAAAAAAATGGACTTGATTTCCTCCTCCTTTGGAGCTTTTTTTGGACCTAGCTATCGACCTGATTGAGTGGGAGATTAACCATTTGGCCATCGGGGACAGAAAGATACCCAAATAGTGGCTGAGAGATTGAGAGATTTAAGAGAAATGCAGAAATCTTAACAAATCTAAATATCCAACAGTTCCCACAGTCTACAGGGTGCGTCAAAAGTTCTGTCACCACACTTACACCTCACATCGCTTATAGATTTTAAGGCAAATACCAGTTAACTTTTGGATTTTTGCGCTTATTTTACGAATATTGCATAAAAACGTATAAAAAGCGTCAAATAAAATGTTCTTAGAAGAATTCTATCTTTTACTAGTAACAAATTTATAAATGAGGCGTTTGGAAGCAAACGTTTTGCCGAAATTTCAAATACCGTATTCTCTCTAATAGTAGTGCGCACTACTATTTTTTCAACCCCATCTCGGAACGCAATACTATTAGAGGGTGCACTACTATTAAAGAGTGCACTACTATTAGAGAGAATACGGTATATGTCGTAGTTCACTATGCTTTTCGGCCGAAAGTCTTTCGGCTAGCCGATGGTGTTCGAAAGACTTTTAGCTAGCCGATTGTGCTCAGGCTCAGGCTTAGGCTTAGGCTTGGGCTTTGGCTTTGGCTTAGGCTTAGGCTTAGGCTTAGGCCTCAGTTTCTAGAAGAAAATGACCTCACTGTGAACCTTGACTGTGAACCGATTTATCTGTAAAGTCACAAGAAAACTTAAATGCTAATTACGATTAGAGTTGCTAATTGGAGTTGAGCTTCTACTACAATCACGGAATTAAAGGGTGACGCACAATTACCCGCACTCAGTTCAGATTCTCCAGCTTAGCGAAGAGTCAATCAATCGAGCTAATTCTTTTTTGATTATCAAATTGAATATTTCTCTTGCAATGTGTTTTCTGGATTTGATCAGAAAGCTTCTAAACTTTTGCTAGAGCGCCGCAAATTTGCGACGGATTTTCCTGCGACGGATTTAATTTCCTTGGCATTTCTTGAAAACCAGTTTTTGAATCATTCTCAATTTCTGTAAATGCATTTCCGTTAGACTTTTTTTAATGAATTGATCTATAGTTGTCCTTTTCTTTTAAATCTTCAATTTTGGGAAGCTAACTCTATTTTGACGACATTAAACTTGTTCCTAAAGTGACTCGATTCCTTTTTTGGTCACTCGCATCTCGCCCTCGAAATTTCTTCAATGCTTCGATCAATTGAAACACGTTTTAGCCTATTTTGTAGAGGAAATTTACAACTTTTAAATAGTTTATAAAATTCATCGATATCAGGTTTCTATCGTTGGGAATTTATGAAAATGTTGAAATCCGCATTTCTTATGCATGTACCTAATAAGATACTAAAGCTCTCAGGATTTTTTGTAAAGCAATTTATGCCATTAAATATTTTGACTCGTTAACTTGTTTTTAGGTAAATTTTCTTGAAAATTTTCTTTCTTTAGTTATCAACTATTTTCATTTGGCTAAATGGACAATCCCGTTCCACCAGACGTCGCCTATACACTGTACATTGTGATTTGTAAGTTAAAGAAGACTTTTGAAGAAAGAAAAAGAAAGAAACTCTAATAGCATAGCTATTACTGTATTCCGTTTGACGAGTGCGTTTTCTAAAACTTTCAAAAATTACCGTAATCTTCTAGCATTAGTCTATCAATCTATCTTGGTATTCTTGAGAACCTTCACTGAAACAAAGTTTCTAAAACTTCTAAAGTTTATAAACCTATACACATAAAATCGATAGAACTAGAGACAAGATTACGGTAGCTTTTGAAAGTTGCCAAGCCTTAAAACAATTACCTACCTCTGATTTCATGTACCTCTGATATCAACAGACAAAATTTTCGGTTATCGGACATTTGATGGGACGCCTCGCTCTTATGCCATTGGCAATCTAACTTTCAGTTCAAATATCTTGATGTTGGGCTATCCAATTTCAATAGTTTTTATACCAATCGATAGAGAAAGACTTGGCACATCTAATGATACCAAGAAAGTTTAAATTGGACAGCCCAACCCGAAGATATTTGAGCTGAAAGTTAGATTGGCAATGGCAAAGGAGCGGGGCGTCCGATCAAATCAAATGTCCAATAACCGATAGACGTTGGGCTGTTCAATTTAAACCTTCTTGGTATCATTAGATGCGCCAAGTCTTTCTCTGTAGATTGGTATAAAAGCTATTTAAATTGGACAACCGAACACCAAGGTATTTGAGCTCAAAGTTAGATTGCCAATGGCAAGAGGGCGGAACGCGTATAGAAGGTCAGACAATGACCCTGCCCCTTTGCCATTGGCAATCTAACTTTCAGCTCAAATATCTTGATGTTGGGCTGTCCAATTTAAATATTCTTGGTATCATTAGATGCGCTGATTCTTTCTCTGTCGATTGGTACAAAAACTGTTTGCATTGAACAGCTCAACACCAAGATATTTGAGCTCAAAGTTAGATTACCAATGGCACAGGGGCGGACGCATATCAGATGTTCCACAATCAAAATTTTCAGCTGGCGCTATCATCATTTGTGATATTCCATTCATACTTCTGATATTTATTAATAAGCATTTACGGTGAGTACTAACAGAACATTGTTTGTTTAAAATTGGTTGTTTTAGACATCAAAAAGAGTTGGTGATTGTTGGTTTTATGTGCGTAGCGGACACGGCTCACGCCGTCGCTTTTCTCATTTCTGGCGCAGTTCGCTTGTGGATTGCTTTGAGCAATTTAGGTAAACGTTTTAGGTTAATAAATTTTATCTCTTAGCAACATTTTTTTAAGAAAATTTCTAGGATCTCAAACAATTTTGAATCAATTTTCAGGATCCCAAAAAATCACAAATCACGATTGCCTCAAATACGGGTTTTCGCTCATTTTCTTGTACAGTTATCAGCTAATGGGTGCTGCCACACTGGTTGTCTCTTTTGATAGGTGATTTTGTGGTAAAATAATTTTTTGAAAGCATAAACCTTTAAATGCAAAAATGATGCCATATTTAGATTCATTGCCGTTATGTTTCCCGTTTATTATCGTGTCTTGACCTCAAGGTTTTCGTTTGGAATCATGGGATGTAAGTGATTCAATAGTAGAACTGTAAAAAAAGAAAATTCTTAGCAAATCGAACTTGCTGAGTACTAGCAGAAGGTAAGTTTAGCGTATACTTAAAGCGTTTTCTAAAAGATGCATTCCGGGAAAGCTACCGTAATTCCATTGCTATTTGACTAGGGTTTGGCCACATTCTAAACTAGATTAGGCTCTACTAGATTGATGCAAAAGAAATTTCGCTCCTTATAAATGTTCCATTTTTTTTCATCCAGAAATCTTATTTGATTTTCTTTTGTATACTTGCATTCTTGGATATTTGTATACTTTATTTTTATGCTTTTTCTAAGTCAGAACTTCCACCTTTTAATTGAGATTTGTTTTAGATCATGGTGGATCAAAAGCATGTTGTGTGTGTCTTCTCTACGATTTCAAGAAAAACGCTGCCGAATCACATCGTGATCTCTGTCCCGCTTTTGGAGAACAAGTTATGACCAAAAAATCCTGCCAGCTCTGGTTTTCCCGATTCCGTGAAGGTATTGAATCTCTTGAGGACGAACCACATGGGCATTGCTCGGCAGCGATCGATCATAATGAATCGGAACAACTTATTGAAGCCGATTCAATGCAAACAACACGAGAGCTTGCCAAAAATCTCCAATGTTGCTTAAATCGCAAAAATGTTGACCAAATTTTGGGTCAAAAGGGTTTAAATCCCTCGATTGTCAATTTTCTCTGTGACAACGCACCAGCTCACACAGCGAAAGCTTCTTGTATGAAGTTAGAGGAAAGGAAGGTCTTACCGCTTGCGCCATACTATGGCCATCTGATTTTCATCTCTCCAGACCAATGCAACATTTCCTTGCGAATAGCCAGCTTACGAATGCACAAGAGGTCGAGATTTGGATGATCGCCTACTTTCAATCACAGAATCAAGAGCTCTTCGAGAAGAAGATCCACAATCTGGAACAACGTTGGAGGGATTTTATAGATAACGATCGTGCTTATTGTTTGGGATTAATTTGTTACCTAAAGGAATTTCGATTAAATTGAATGTTTGTAAAAAAAAGGAAATTTCTTTTGCATTAACCAAATAATTAGTGAAAATGGGAAAAAAGTGCAAATATCAAGGTTATCTATTGATTTCGATAAAAAGGTAGCCAAAGTACGATAGCTTTTGACGTAGCGTACTTTGGCGTGCTAGCGTCAAAGCAAAAAAGAAAGAGCTTCAGAAAAAGAAAGAGCCGAGAAAGAAATCTCTCCAAAACGACTACTTACTAAAGTTTTAACTTTATTGTTCAAGATATTTCAGGCCTTTTCTTCTATGTAACAATCACATCACTCGTTTTTCTTTATTTCATTTACTCGAACGCTCCATTGCCAAGCTCACCCAATTGTTTCACTTCTGAAGCTTATACTCCCGGGATTTGGAAATATTTGCTCTATTTTCGAATGAACACATTGATTCTCAGCAGTTTATTGTATCTACCAATAACATTCAGAGTTTACAAGGTTCTTTCTTTGAATTTGAATTAGAATTCTTTGAATATTTAAAAAGTCATTTTCTAGATGTCAAAAGCATTGAAACGTGAAACCACTGGTGGCCATTATGCAAAGAAAATCATTCGAACGACGAGGACAATTGGTTTTTAATTTAAGAGAAACTTTGAAACTAATCATTTTACAGGTCTTACCGTGGCTGCTGAATTCATTTTTGTGGTCATTCCAGATATTTTTCTTACTTTCAACCCTTTTGGCTTGGCGAGATACCAAGTTTTGTGGTACATTTGTGGAGTGAGCAAAGGTGAGAATTGTTAGCTTAATTTTCAATCATCAAAGAACGACTAGAGCTCACAAAAGAATTAGTTTCCCAAGGATTTTGCAAAGTTTAGTGTTTCAATTATCTTTGAGAAAGTTCTGAATGAAGGAAAGTTCTTGGGTATTCGCTAGAACCTATTGGGACCTATTGGCTCCTACCCAAAGACCTATTGGACATTATCAGGATTGCTTTGTATCCACGAAAGTTCAAGTTTCCTAGTTGTGACCCAGTTGTGAGATCCCTGGTGTAGCCATCTTAGGATTTGTGTGTTTGAATTAAAGTGTTTGACCAACCCGGCTTTGCACCGGACTTCAACTTCATTCCCATCATCTTCAACTCCATTCCCATCATCTTCAACTTCACAACTGGCAACGGTCCAACATCTTTATCTGAGGAGCTTCCTCTTTAGAACCACCGATCTGACTTGTAATTTGATTGTAGAAGTCATAAGACTTATGTACAGACGTGTAATCGACAATAAGAGAGTTAAGCGGAGAATTTTGTAGGGAAAAGGGGAGGACTCGAAGTTGAAATTGAGTCCGGAGTTAGGGTTAAGTCAAACAAGACGTGCTCTTTCTTTCTCCCTTTTATTTTAGGTCCTTAAGAAATTGTTAGAAAGATAGAAGTTTACAATAAGACGAAATCACATAAATGATACAACATATAAAATGTATCGGACTCGTGACACAGTAGCCGGCCTCACTAGAAAGGGATCATGGGACTCTCCCATTATACCACCTCAATATCAAAACCATTACACTTTCATTATGCCCTAGCAACTCCATCTCAGTAGATCACCTAAAAATTATTTATATTAGAGTCATTTCATAATGCAATTGAAGCATTTTGGGTGGGTTAACTTAACGGAGATGGGAGCCTTGATGAATTTTGTGGTGACTAATAACAAATCAGATATTACGGCTATTATTGAATATTGTGTAGAATGGAAATAGAATGGGTCTATGGGTAAAGAAGGATTTCAGAAAAGACTCCGAAGATCTCTTTCGTGATCTTTGCACAGAGGCCCATGGTTCACCGGCCTTAGAATAGCTAAATGTAAAATTCGCTTGGAATTCTTGAGCGAAAAAAGACATTTCTTCTTCTTTAGAAATCGAAAAGCCTTAAAAAAAAAGATAGTTTTATAATATATTAAAATTTATCCTATAAAAAGAAATCTCAAATTAACAAATTCGCAACGATACGGCCATAGTTCAGTATCGGTAAGCCGTGGATTTAGCGAAGTGTTTACTTTAGATTGGATTACTTTAGAACTTTAGAACTTTAGAGCTCTTCAGTCTTGTGAAATACTTGTTTATGGCTCTGGAGTCTGAAAGTTTTTCCTAAAATGCCTAAAATAAAGCTTTGTCAAGTCCTCTTGAATATATTCGCGACGAGACGGCCGACCACTGGGCCGTACATGAATTTCTCACTTCTTAACTTTTTTTTTTTTTTTAAAATTTTTTTTAATAAATTATTTATATTTTAAAAAAAAAAAAAAAATTAATTTTTTTTTTTAAATATAAAATTATTTATATTAAAATAATTTTATGGTTTTTAAGGGGAAAGGGAAAAAGTTGTAAAATGAAGATTTAAAGGGAAGAAATTGAAGGTGGGTGGGAGGAGGTTTGAAGGGAAGGAGGAAGGGGATGGGGGTTGGTTTTGGGGGGGTGGGGGGGGGGGGGTATTTGGATGGAGGGGTAGGGTTAAAAAGGTTTTAAATAAAAATAAAAAAACAAAAATTAAATTTTTAATTTTAAAATAAAAAAAGGAAAAAAAAATGGGAATTTTTTTTTATTTTTTTTTATAATTTTGAGGCCGATTGGGCTAAAAATTTGCAACCAAGGGTTTTCGAGGATGAGGAATTCGAATTCGTTATCAGTTATGGATAACTCCATTTTTAGATATTTCATTCGCTTCAATTACCCACGTGCAAACCAACCACATCCAGGACCGTTTGCCAGAAGATGCGCAATTACAAAAACGTGGAAATCATGTTTAAGTAATCGCGCGGCTTCTGGCACAGGGCCAGGCATAGGGATAAAACACACAACTCACATCCGGTTTTGCCTCTTTCTCCAATTTGGTTTAATTACCCAAGTTTAAGAGAGTTTTGTGATGACCCTATTGGCCCGGAAATAAAAGTTACTCAAAAACTAGTTACGGATTCAGATTCTCCATCCCAGAATGCCTCCGGCTACAAATTTTCAGATCTACAGCTAACAGCTGGCCTTCAAAACGCCAGTCAAGCCAAAAATGACTTTGTCGTGAATGTGCTAATAAGAAGATCCAAAGCCAAAGCGAATATTCAGGTGCTGTGAACGTGCTACTTGTTACGCTGCGTCATGACGAAATTTTGAGGATATTACGTGAAAAAATCCGTGGGATTAAGAGAACTCAACCATTGAGTAAGTTGCGTCAGATAAGTGCTGGGGTTTTATGATTAATAGTGAACTTTGAACTTTGTGTGTGACTTTGTGAACAAAGAAAGGACAATCGGATAGGCTGGCCAAATGACAGGCAAATGACAAAAGTCGGAGCTAAATGACCGTTCGATACAGAATTGCGCGCTCAGCACGATGCTGCTTTCCGTTTTTACTAAATGACACTTTGTCAAAAGTTATTAGGTTTAAAAGAAATTTTGCTCCTTATAAAATGTTTTATTTTTTAATCCGGAAATCGGATTTGATTTCCTTTTGTGTACTTGTACTCTTGAATAATCACTTTATTTTTATGCTTTCTCTAAGTCAGAACTTTCACTTTTTAATTGAAATTTGTTTTAGATCATGGTGGAGAAAGAAAGTCAAAAGAATGTTGTCTTCTCTACGATTTCAAGATGGACAAAAACGCTGCCGAATCACATCGTGATCTCTGTTCCGCTTTTGGAGAACAAGTTATGACCAAAAAATCCTGCCAGCTCTGGGGTCCCCGATTCCGAGAAGGTATTAAATCTCTTGAGGACGAACCACATGGGCATCCCTCGGCAGCGATCGATCATGAATTGACAACTTATTGAAGCCGATCCAATGCAAAAAACACGAGAGCTTGCCAAACATCTCCAATGTTGCTTAAATCGCAAGAATGTTGACCAAATTTTGGGTCAAAAGGGTTTAAATCCCTCGATTGTCAATTTTCTCTGTGACAACGCACCAGCTCACACAGCGAAAGCTTCTTGTATGGAGTTAGAGGAATGCAAGGCCTTACCGCGTGCGCCATATGCTCACTTATGGCCATCTGATTTTCATCTCTTCAGATCGATGCAACATTTCCTTGCGAATTGCCAGTTTAAGAATGCGCAAGAGGTCGAGATTTGGGTGACCGACTACTTTCAATCACAGAATCAAAATCTCTTCGATAAGAATCTGAAGCAACGTTGGAGGGATTTTGTAGATATCGATGGTGCTTATTGTTTGGAATTAATTTGTTACCTAAAGGAATTTTGATTAAATTCAATGTTTGTAAAAAAAAGAAAATTTCTCTTGCATCAACCTAGTATGCGCGTTGAAAGTTTTGTAAAGAGTTTCAAAAATCAAACATAGACTTTGAAACCGGACTTCTCCGATACAGAAGATTTGCAGGGATCACCCAATTGGTAATAGTAGGCTAGAATACAAGGCAAGACCTTCAGGGTTCGAATCTGTCAGCTGACTTTTTGTTTTGCTTTCTTTTAGGTTTAAATGGCTTATGTGTTTTCCGCTTGGAAGTCGCTATTTTTAAGCCAATTTTAAACATTAATTTTTAATGGTCTATGGCTTATATCATTTGGCCAACCTATCCAGTTGACCTTCGCTTGTGAGTGTCATTAAAATTAGCAAAAACCCAAATCAATCCAAATCTATGATTTGATTTTAAAAAAACAATAGAAGCTGCTTAAAAATAAAAGTTTTAGGCACAGCGGTCACCTCAACAAACATTCGTTCATCAAAAACGCCTGGGTGCCGTCCCTACTAGAATTGAATTGAAAAACAGTGAATAAACACTTGTAGATAATTTTGCCAAACAAAAGCGACAAAAGAAAAACAATACACGGCGCGAAAAATATTGATACGCAAATGATACGCAGAGCAAATAATTTGCTTTAATTTGCGCTTTGCTAGCACCTCTTGCAAGCATTTGTTATTCAACAATCAATCATGCGGTGGAAATCATTGTTACACTAGGTTGAGGAAAACGTCCTTCCTCAGCGGTGAAAAATTCAATTTTTATGCGGACTTTAAAAACAAAAATAAAAACAATTCTTCCTCAAAGTATAACCTTTTTAAGGGTGGGGGGGGGGAAAAAAAGGGGTAAAATTTTAAAAAGTAAATTTTTTTTTTTTTTTTTTTTTTTTTTTTTTTTTTTTTTTTTTAAAAAAAAATAAATTTTTTTTTTTTTTTTTTTTAAAAAAATTTTTTTTTTTTTTTAAATTTTTTTTTTTTTTTTTTTTTTTTTTTTTTTTTTTTTTTTTTTTTTTGTTTTTTTTGGGAGGGGAAAAAGGGGGGGGGAAAAAATTTATTTTTTTTTTTTTTTTTTTTTTTTTTTTTTTTTTTTTTTATAATTAAAAAATTTTTTTTTTTTTTTATTTTTTTTTTTTTTTTTTTTTTTTTTTTTTTTTTTTTTTTTTTTTTTTTTTTTTATTAAAAAATTTTTTTTTTTTTTTTTTTTTTTTTTTTTTATTTTTTTTTTTTTTTTTTTTTTTTTTTTTTTTTTTTTTTTTTTTTTTTTTTTATTTTTTTTTTTTTTTAAAATTTAAAATTTTAAATTTTTTTTTTTTTAAATTTTTTTTTTTTTAATTTTTTTTTTTTTTTTTTTTTTTTTTTTTTTTTTTTTTTTTTTTTTTTTTTTTTAATTAAATATATATTTTTTTTTTTTTTTTTTTTTTTTTTTTTTTTTTTTTTTTTTTTTTTTTTTTAATTTTTTTTTTTTTTTTTTTATTTTTTTTTTTTTTTTTTTTTTTTTATTAATTGTGTATTGGGATAACAGCCGAGAAACCCGCCTAATAGTGGGTTTTTCTGGATGTTTTGGGAATACAGGATGTTTTGTTTCGCCGTCGCCGTGGAGCAGTGGATAGCGCGCCGGTCTCTCGTTCATACGATCAGGGTTCGACCTCCCCGTGCGACTCGAGTTGTGCTTTTTAAAAATTCCAAAAGCACGTTGCACAACTACATGTAATTCCCTATTCAACGGCGCAAAAATTATTGCAAATGGTCCTCTGGGGGCTGAGGAGTAGCGCGCACAGACAGAGAAGACAAACAGCGCACACGACACGACAGACAGACACAGACAGTGCGGCAGCAGGCAGCAGACAGCAGGGGGACAGACAGACAGGCAGACAGATAGACAGACAGACAGACGGCCCTCCGCGACTCGGGTCTGGACAACTATTGGACCCCAAATTCTACGTGATCTGGTTGACAGCATGCCAAGGAGTATTCAAGCAGTAATTTCGGCTCGCGGAGGACCTACTAAGTATTGATTTTCATAATTTTTTTCTCACATGTTAAAAGACTTTTGTCCATCAATTTTTGTTTTATTAAAAAAGTTCATGGCACTTGATAAATTGTAAAATCCATCTTTTTGTAATGTTAAAATTAGAAATAAGAAGCTCTTTAAATCTTTTAACCGTTTTCAAATTGGTCGGATTTGGATCAAGATATACAAAGAACAAACTTCCGAGAAACCAACCTTAAAAGACTTTTGTCCATGACTGTATGGAATTCGTGAGATAGTAAGTTCTCCGTTCTCAAAAATCTCAAACTTGTATTCTGTGTATGGCTCTTAAACGAATTTCAAAAATTCCTTCTTTAGCGACTTGGATCTCTTTGGAAACACAGAGGATTTTAAAGAACAAAGAAAACAGAAAAATAAAGATGATGAGTGGTGGCTCAGAAAGTTCAGCAATTTCGGCAAAAGCAAAGTCCAAAAGGTCTCCTCTTTGGCAACAGAAAAGAGGAATTTTTAAAAGCTTTTTTTGAATGATCTCGCGAAAACGAGACCAACTAAAAAATTCACCAAAAAAAACGGGCGTCAATGAGCAATTTTCTCTTTTCTTTGAAGATTTTTGCGTTTTTCTTTTCTCAATGAAAGAGGGTACAGTATTTAGAACCCCAAAAAGGCATTTAAAGAATTCAGAAATTTTACATTTGCTCATTTTTGCACAAATGTTTTACAAGCTTTTGTTAGTTTTGATATTCTTGATTGGGCTACGATGGGATTTGGTGAAAAGTCAGGTAAAAGAAAAGCAAAAAAGCAAATTCTCCGTTTTGTAAAGAGATTCAAAAGAAAATTCAAGTTTTCCATAAGCTCAAACCAAAGAAAAACAAAATTTGCCAAAATTTACAAAAAAAAACGACGAAAGATTTCTCTTTTGCTTTGTAGATGATGTAAAAAGAAGATGTTCAGCTCTAAAGTTGTACTCGCGGGTTTTTGGGAACGGGCAATCGTTTAAAGCTATTCATTTCACTGAGTTTAACAAGTGGAACTTGAGTTTGATTGAGCTAAACTTTTAGAATTGGAACTTGGCTTAGGCTTAGGTTTAGGCTTAGGCTTACGCCTAGGCTCAGGCTCAGGCTCAGGCTTAGGCTTAGGCTTAGGCTTTGGCTTTGGCTTTGGCTTAGGCTTAGGCTTAGGTTTAGGCTCAGGCTCATTAGGCTTAGGCTGAGGCTTAGGCTTAGCCTTAGGCCTAGGCTTAGGCTCAGGCAATCAACTCTCCAGTTCTTTTAGGGTCCAAATCCATATCTACCGCCGTACGGTTGCAATAATTTTGGCTCGTGCAAGAAAGCTGGGATTGCGTAAGTTTGCATTGCTCGATTTGCTTTTTCGGTTAAACTTTTGCAAGCCGTCTCTACTTCAGTTGGACCGGGATTGTACCGTCAACAGATTACTACTATTGCACGTCGTCGATCTATTGTCTATGCAATAATGGAACCTCTGGCGATAATTGTACACAAGGTTCTCAAAATTTGCCGGAGTGTGCGATGATATGTTGATGAGTTTTAGTTGATGATATGTGTGCCTGCAATCCGTGTACTTCTGGAATTTGCCAAGCGGGGATTGGTACATACTCTTGTGTTTGCCCGGCCAATTTCACTGGAGATGATTGCGAAATGGGTGAGTAAAAGCTGAACATTGTTATTCTGTGAAAAACTGATTTTTGGTTTGGTTTTTGGTTCGGCTTTTGGTTTGATTTTGGTTTGAATTTGTTTGATTTTGGTTAAGATTTGCTTAATCATTAACTTTCAATGGTCACTTTCTTTGCTTATTTAAAGGAGCTTGAGTTAATCTCATATAATCTCAGCGGCAAAGAAAAATAGTTGAATCGTAAAAACGTAAGTATTTTGGATTGAAAATCCATTTATCTGGAACTCAATATTGCTCTTTCTTTTGGATTTTTACAGATTGTTCATATCTGATGATTTAATGAGATCAATCTTAATCATTTCCAGTTTCCAGGTTTAGTTTCCAGGTCTAGATGATGGCTATATCAATAGTCAGTCCTGGGATGGTTTGACCAGATCCTGGTCAGAGCTAGTTTGATCAGTATCTGATCTAGTTTTAGGCTCAAGACTTGCTACTGATCTGATCTGGCTAACATAGATAACTAGATATCGTACTAATTTGACTTAAACGTCATGATATTCAATTGAATTTTCATTTTCGAGAATGTTTCTGCAATTCTCCGTCGACTTTAAGCATTTGTTTTCTTGTCTTAAGCCATCTATTTACGATTTTAATCGCATACTTTCATTTTCACTTTTGTATTTTCGACTTTCGCGGTTACTAATTCCGAATTTTGCAACTGGCTTTTTCTTTTCACTTTAACCGTGACTTTTATTCCTCATTTGACTCGGGGGATCTCCATTGAGGAGAGCCCAACAACCTTGGTTTAGCGTAGACTGGTAACAAAAAGATCTGTCGGCCTTTTTTTTTTTTGCAATCTAACGTTTTTTGTCTTTTTCTCAGCAACAACTCTTCGATTTTTGCTTTTTTTGCTATAAGTTGGGTGAAAAAAAAATTGGGGGGGGGGAGTAAAAAAAAAAACTCATAAAAAAAACACAAAAAAGTTTTTATACAAACAGCTTTTACACTCCCTTTCTAATGAAGTCCAAAATTGTTACCTAGAGTCACAGCACCCGATAGTCGAACAGTCCTAGAATCCGACTCTTCCTTGACATCCTTGTTAACTTTTAGAGATCGATTCACCGTGCGCATCAAGCCCATGCTTGAATGGTGGTGAGTGTTCGTTGAATGGAACCACATACGAGTGCCAATGCTCGGATCCTTGGGTTGGAGATCGATGCCAGTGTAGTGAACTTTTCAAATTTTAAACTGAACTATTTAGATATTAACACATGTCTCCAAAATCCGTGCGTAAATGGTGGAGTTTGTCAGGTAAAAAGCTTCCAAAAACAGCCATCATCAGGTTTTAGCTGATATTTCACGGAGAAGATTATTATTGTCAATGCTCGATGGAATGGCAAGGAAGAAGCTGCAGTCAATCACAAACAACTTGTTCGTTTCTTGTACATTTTCAAACAATTTTTTCAAGAAACACCTCTTTTTAGTCAATTTCAAGGATCTCGGTTGTGGAACAATTCAAAATAATGTGAGTAGTTGAAGCTAAGCTAAAGCTAAGCTAAAGCTAAGCTAAAGCTAAGCTAAAGCTAAGCTAAAGCTAAGCTAAAGCTAAGCTAAAGCTAAGCTAAAGCTAGCTAGTAAGCAAAGAAGTAAAGCTAAGCAAGTAAGTAAGCTAAGTAAAGCTAAGTAAAGCTAGGTAGGGTAGCTAAGGCTAGCTAAAGGGTAAGAAGTAGTGGGCTAAGCTAAGGCTGGTAAAGTGAAGCAAGCTAAGCTAAGCAGCAAGCTAAAGCTGCTAAAGCTAAGCTAAAAGCTAAGCTAAAGCTAAGCTAAGCTAAGCAAAGCGAGCTAGTAGCTAGCTAAGCTAGCTAAAGCTAAGCTAAAGCTAAAGCTAAAGCTAAATCTTTTAGGGATTGGACGGTCTAACAAAGGTTGACTTGGGAGATGCGCCAACGCTTGACGCTTGCAAACAAGCTTTCTCCGATGCAGTCTCTGGTGGCGCAAACTATCAGTATTTCAGTGCGTTACAATTTATTTGATTACAAATTAAAGTACCGTATTTTCTGTAATAGTAGTGCGCACTACTATTTTTTTTTCAACTCCCCTGCAGCCTGCACTACTATTAGAGAGTTGTAGTAATTCCAGAACTCTTGAAGGAGTGCTAACTTTGATCAGATGCTTCGGCAGCGCATTTCAGGCATTCCAAACCCATGTCAAGTAAATTTCCATCGGTGGTGGAGCGGGATTCCCTCCTTGGAGGCCTCCATTGACCATCCATTCTTCATATTGTGCTCTAATATTTGCTTCAAAGGGAGCGTTCCACGCGAGATCAGGCGCTTGGATGTAACAGCTTTTCTTCTTTGATCCTATCAAATGCTCGGATGGTGTCATTTTGTGTTTTCGAGAAGGTTCCTCATCAGGTTCCTCTTCGCCAGCTGCTGATATGTCGTCAGCGATACCGGCTTCATTTGCATCCAAGTTGATTTCATCTTGGCAACGAGGCAACAGACACGAGAAAATCCTCTTGGCATTGAGCGTTCCAATCCCGAGCATCCTTTTCGAATGTTTGCTTTCTACGAAATTCTTGCGAGGGTTTATCGGAATCGCCGTCGAGTTCCATTTCTAAAAAATCAAACTAAAAAGAATAAGAAAATGCTTGTAAGTTAATAGAAGAAGTAGTAACAATCTGTCAAAAAGTTAGTCACAATCACAATCTATTAGTCAGTACTAAAGAACTAGTCAAAATCGCATAAGGACATCTGATCTAGCTACCAGTATGCTTTTAAAACAAAGAAAGCCAAAATAAACAAAAACAGAGGAGATTTTAGCAGGGTGCACTACTATTTTTTCAACCTCTCCCCTGCCTGCACAACTATTATAGACTGCACTACTATTACAGAAACCAGGATATCTATTTTATCTATCTATTTTAGCAATCATGGGCTCCGGTTGTTGGCTCTCAAAGGATAAACCCTCACAGAAGGGCTCAAACAAGGATCAATGCAATGCGAAATGCAAAGAATCGGCCTCGATAGGGAATCAAATTTCTGGATATGATGGGTTTGTGGGGGAAATTTAACATGAGAAACGGTAACCAAAAATATCTTCGATCTTTTAGAGACGATCAGATTTGTGGGAAACAGGATATGTTTGGGAAATATGCGCACAGTTACTCTTATACATCAACAAGTGAGTTCATTTGGTTTAGCAGCATATTGATAAGTTATAAAATGATCAAAATCTCACAATTTAGGTGAGCCACAGCAATGCCCGAATCTCGATTGCTCACCCGGCGTTTGCATTGAGTACAATAATTTTGCGAATTGTTCGTGCCCTCGAGAGCGATTGCCTGGTCCAGATGGCAAGGATTGCTCAGTTGGTAGGTTTATTTAGTCACAGATTTTCATGGGATCGTACTTAAGCCCGCTCAGTATCGGATTTGGTGCTAGACTGTTGAAAAATTTGAGATGTACGGAACAAATCCAAATGATTTGATGTTACTCAATTTATTAGACGAGCTTTCCATAAGAATATAAGTCTATGAGTTTTCATTGATTTAAAACTAACTAGTGAAGGCCGCCGATTTAACAGTTTTAAAACAGATTTACCAGTTTTACCAGTTTACCAGTTTACCAGTTTCAAAGTTTAGCCAGTTTTCTAGCTGATTACGAAGCTTGTGGGCTATCTGATACGCGTCCGCCCCTTTGCCATTGGCGATCTAACTTTGAGCTCAAATATCTTGGTGTTCGGTTGTCTAATTTAAATAGTTTTTATACCAATCGATAGAGAAAGACTTGGCGCATCTAATGATACCAAGAATTTTTAAATTGGACAACTCAACACCGAGATATTTGAGCTCAAAGTTAGATTGCCAATCGGAGAAGGGGCTAGGCGTCCGATCAAATCAAATGTCCAATAATCGATTACGAATCTTCAATCAAATCAAATCTATTAATTGTAATAGCTCCCTTGTTTCAGTGGTTGACCTCTGCGATCCAAACCCGTGCGGAGCCGGCAACAATTGCACGGTGAACGACGACTTCACCTGGACGTGCAACTGCGCAAATCCGCTCTACTTTGGCCCAAATTGCAAATGTTAGCTATAATTGCATAAGTCTGCTATAATTCAGCTATAATAGTTTTTGTAATTCTGCTAAATTGCATTTTAGTTGTGCACAAGTGTGCGCAAGCCAAACCCATTTGTTCCTATGGTTCGACTTGTGTGGAAACGCCTGGCATTGGTTCAGGATCCACTTGTGAATGTCTCACAAATTACTATGGATCGAGTTGTCAATGTGAGCACTGTTGATTCTCTAAATTTCTCTAAAATTGACAAATCTTTTCCAGATCCCGATCAGTGTGTGTATGAGCCGTGTAAACATGGTGTTTGTAGCAATGTGCAGCGTGGACTCAACTCCACCTACCAGTGCAAGTGCGAAAAGGGATGGTCGGGAAGCATTTGCTCTGTTGGTGGGTATTCCAGAGTTGACAAAAGAGTCAAAGCCAAGCCAAAGCCAAGATCTTAGACCAATGGTAGGGTTGCAGTTTCAGGCAAAAGCTAATTGAAAGACTTGACCTGGCTTTTTATTTGGTCGAATACGAACTAGGGAACTGTTTCAACTTACCACCGATTTTCGAAACCGGACCTACCGTAAATACTGTAATAGTACCCCACCCCCCTCAGTCGCGTAAAAGTTTTTTAGTATTTCATTTTTTTCAAAGCGCCCGTACTTTCAAAAAATGCGTCTTTGGTATCAAAAAATAGCCCTGAATTTCAGCTATTTTTTGATACTTTTTTTGATACTAGTTCACTCAATAGTCAGTTCACTTGGCTATAAGTCTAATTTTTGATTCCCTACAACTTTCCTATTGACACCAGAATTGGTTTCTTTTGAAGAAAGTGCTCAAACTGTGACATATGAACATCTCCAGTCCTGCATTTTTGAGTCTCACACTTGTCTCACACACAAACCAAAATCCTACTACGAAAGAGGAATCCGCAAATTGCTTGTAAAATGGGCAGAAGTCGTCAATAATAATGGAAATTATTTGGAATGAATTGATGGTTTTATGTTAAATAAATTTTAGTAGAAAGTCCTACAGTTTTCAATTCACCAACCCAATATTTGCCACAGTAAAGTAGACCGAAAATCAGCTCTAATAAAATTCGTCCAATAAAACGAATAAGAATGAATATTCATGGTTTTAGCTAAAGAATTTAGCTAAAGAATTCTATCGAATTTCAAAGCCAATTTCTGTTTAGATATCAACGAATGTCTGTGCAATCCGTGTCAAAACTTTGGCACCTGTTCCCAGGTTAAACCACCCGCCGATCCATTTTATAATTGTGCTTGTATTCCGGGAACAACTGGGACAAACTGTGAAATTAGTAAGTCAAAATGGGCACTTTATCCTTTTGCACTCACCTATTCTAGATCCAAACGATTGCCCCAAACAACCGTGTCACGGGAACGAGCAGTGCTCACCGTGCAATGTAACCGATCCGAATGGGCTATGCGTCGATGGGTTGGTTGATTAGTGCTATTCTTGGGCTCTTGATTTTACCCAATAATCTTCTTCGAAAGTTTGGTCTTTTGTCCCATTTTGTCCCAACAAACCCGAATTTCTTGATCCCAATTTCAACATGACTTTTTTCAAACAAACAGGCTAACTTTGAGTCTATTGGCTAGCTGTGTTATGAAGAATTTTCGGTACTTGTGATTTTCTAGCGGTCATTTTCATTTTCAAATTTAAATCAAGCTTTTCAAATTCAGCTGCAATGCAAATTTGCAATTTAAAAGAAAATCTGACATCAACATTTGCTAATCTTGCATCGCGAGGAGCCAAAAAGCCAAAAAAGCCAAAAAAGGAGCCAAAAAAGTCAAATGTAGCAAAATCTATAAGAAATCTCCCTATAGGAGCGTCGCGTAGTCTAGGTTTACACTCAAAGAACCACTCATACAGTAATGGACATAAAGTCACCTCGTGAATTTTTCTCCATCTTTGAAGAGCTATAACTCCAAGCCTTTCCATTGTAGACTGGAAGTGTTATAGCGATTCTGTAAGCTTAAAACAAGCTCTATAAGATGGTTTATTTGGTTTTTAAAATTCTTTTTATTTTTGACACATTTTGGGGTGCGCAAAATAGGGTTCAAAAAAAACAATCTTTTCAGCGCTGTTTTTCTTGTTGATGCCGAAATGTGTCAAAAATTAAAAAGAATTGAAAAAAGCAAATACATCATCTTATAGAGCTTGTTTGAGGCTTTCAGAATCGCTATAACACTTCCAGTCTACAATGGAAAGGCTTGGAGTTATAGCTCTTCAAAGATGGAGAAAAATTCACGAGGTGACTTTATGTCCATTACTGTATGAGTGGTTCTTTGAGTGTAAACCTAGACTACGCGACGCTCCTATAGGGAGATTTCTTATAGAATTTGTAATAGATTTTGTTACATTTGACTTTTTTGGCTCCATTTGCCATTTGTCTTGACATTTATTTTTGCTCGCTTGAGTAACAAATTAAAGTAAAGAATTGGTAATTTTTTTAATATTGAATATTTACAATATCTTGTTTCAGTTACAACGAATGGAGTTGTCAATGCTCTCCACAATACACCGGCCCCCAATGTGACATCAATATAATTATCTACAATGTGATGATGGACATTTTTGGGCAAATAGACGACGACATGCTATCGGTTCTCAACCAAGAAAGACTTAAAACAAAAGTTTTCAGTTGTTAAACGATTTGCTCTCAAATCCGGCAATGATCAAAGATATCGTTCCATTCATTCTCGGTTTGGAATCAATGGATAATCGAACGGAGATGAGTTATACATTCGACGAGATGTTCGTGTGGGCTGCGTATGAGGAGAAGACGCTGAATGGGTACTTTTTCAAGTTTTTCAACAGCTTTTCAACAGCTTTTCAACAAAACCGTTGGTTTTTTCAGCAAAAATCCTCAGAAATTCAAATTCTTAATCAAAATTTCCCTTAGAAACACAGAAAAAAACAAGATTTTTATTAAGATTTGAAGTCGAAATCGAAAACGAAATTTGTCCGCAGTTTTCTAAAGGCGAAAGCGCCAAAAAGCATCATTATTCGACCCTATAAAACATTGAATTTTAACCATTTTTACACTAAAAGAAAGCCAAATGTTTACAGAGAAATAATCTGTGAAAAGTTTGCAAAAATATTAAATTTGAGCCAAGTTATGAATTTTTTTTTGGTGAAAAAGGCTTTGAGTTTCACAAAAATCTTCATAACTTTGCTCAAATTTGAGATTTTTACTTTCTCTTTTTAGATAAATAATCTACAGAGATTTTCCTATTTTATGCAAATAATCGGCTTGAAATTTCATTGAATTTTTATTATAAAATTGGACTGAGATTCAGCAAGAAAGCTCATTTTCGCACTAAATTCAAAAAAAAAGGTTTTTTCGTTTTAGTTTTAACTTCAAGCTATATTTCATTTAATAGCTAAAAATGTTTAGTACTAAAATCATTTGTCTAAATATGTCTAAAAAAAGTATTGCAATATTTTAGTAGAAAAAAAAACAGAAGCCTTTCCGTGAAAATTCTGATTTATTTTGATAAAGCTCATTTTTCAAGGTCACCGACTTTGACAAGGTTTTTAAGGTACTTAGGGTTTGAATTTCGCAAAACAGAAAACGCCATTTTGTAGAGCGCATTTGAATTGACTAAAATCCGATGTTAATTCAAAACTGAAGACGTGATTTGGCAAAAAATCGAGGTCGCAAAAAGGGTGCCGGCGATGGTCTCTTTTATATTCTGGCTGGATATCTTGAGTCCGTTTAGCATATTATATTAGCATAAAAACTATAAAAATGTATAATATTCTAATTTTATTCCTAGTTATAACCAGTAAAGGTTTACAATACTTTTAAATCATTCTAATATTTCAACTAGACTCAATTTGAACTCTTTCAGATCTCGAGACTTCTACGGTTTCAACGATGTGGTGCTAGGCAATTGCTTTACATTTAATCATCGGCTCAATGAGAATCCTTACAAGAAAAGGATGTTTGGAGAAGTTGGAGGCGAGTGATTGCCGAGAAATTACTGAACCAGCTTTTGGAGAAATTATTGAACCAGTTTGACCGTAATTATTAATGTGTGTAGTGCCGAAAGTTCGTCAAACTCGAACAATTCAAACTTTTAGAGAAGAACTATTAAAGCGGCTATAGAAAATATAGAAAAGCGTTCTTTATATACCTGCGGTGGTTCCAGAAAACGCAAAATATTCAGCTTTTCACTTAAAAACTCTTGATATTAATTTAAACAAACCAGTCATTTTTAGCTAATCAATTGGATATTTAGCTAATCAATTGGCTTAAAGCTATGGCTTAAGGCTTAAAGCTAGCTATGGCTTAAAGCTAGTTATGGCTTAAAGCTAAAGGAAACCTATTTTCGGGTCAACTAGCAAAAGATAGCCAGGAAAAAACGTTTGATTAACTTCAGATTTGAAATTCATTAACTGAAGCTGGGGTGGCAACTTTCCGTCGAGTTTTTTTGGGCATTCCATTCTTCTAGTGGAAGGGATGGGAAAGGGGAAGATTGGAGTGAGTTTTGGGAGAGGGCTTGGGTGGGTAGGTTGGTTGGGTTTAAGGAAGGTGGGGAGCTGTGGTAGATTTTGACAAAATTTAGAGAAAAGTGTGATGGCGCAGAGCCAAGTAAGAGATGGAGAGATTTAAAAGGATCCCGAGTTGACTAGAAGAGATGGATGTTGGTGATGAAAAATAGTTGATCTAACTAAATGAATACTTAGAAACTCGAAGAAATACTGGCTGGAGGGTAGAAGGGAAAGGTTTTCGAAGACGGCTAGCTTACGGTAGATGGGGGTGGCTACTTTGCGTCAATTTTTTTGCGTCGTTATGCAACTCGCCATAACTTTCTTTTAAGTCGGTCAATTTTTATGCTTTTGGTGTCATTTTGTTACGCTTTTGAAATCCTACAAAATGACACTAAAATCATAAAGTTTGGCCAATATAGAAGAAAGTTATGGCGAGTTGCGCAAAAAATTAGGCTCAAAGTAGCCACTCCCCTAAAACTTTATCAAACTTTATCAAGCTCAAACCTTACAATTGATTAATTGATTAATTGATTAACTGAATATCGTTTAAAACATTGATTTAAAGGGTATTTGAATGGTCGATGGATCCAAATAAAGTTGTAATTTCCTCGCTGGGTTTAAACATCCATAATTTTTCCAAAAGAAAACTTTGTAGAAGAGCCCAAGATGCTTCTTTTAGTCTGAGCTGAAAAACAATTCTTTAGTTGGATTTTAAAACGTTTATTTGTTAAGTATCAGGATCACTTGCTGTACTTTGAAGTAAAGCAAAGACTTTCAGGACTTCGAGTGAAGCTGAGAGTGAATGCCGATGAGTATCTCCCGTGGATTGACACAGAAGCTATGGAGGTACGAATTACTGGAGCTTGGAATTAGATAATGAAACAAAGATAAACCATGACACAAAAGCCAAACCATCGACAAAAGCTTATGTATCTTGTTTTCGGTCTTCGTTCACACTCCCGCCGAGTACATCTCATCAGAGTCAGTACGATACAATGCTCGCCCACAAACGCAGACCCAATTCGTTCCAATGTTGGTGAGTAAATAGGAAAGTAATAGTAATAGTAAAGTAAAGTAAAGTAAAGTAAGTAAAGCAATTATAGTACTGTAAGATTTTGAATTTAAGAATCAATTTTTCAATTGATCAATCAATCGATCAATCAATCAATCAAATGAACCAATCCAAACAAATGATCCAATAAAATCAATTGATCCAATCGAATCAATTGATCAATCAATCAATTGATCCAATCCAATCAATTGATCCAACCAACCAACTGAAAACGAACAATGATCCAATCCAACATTGATCCAACAAACAATTGATCAATCAATCAATTGATCCAATCCAACCAACTGATCAACGAATCAATTGATCCAATCGAATCAATTGATCCAATCCAATCAACTGATCAACGAATCAATTGATCCAATCCAATCAATTGATCCAATCCAATCAACTGATCAACGAATCAATTGATCCAATCGAATCAATTGATCCAATCCAATCAATTGATCCAATCCAACCAACTGATCAACGAATCAATTGATCCAATCCAATCAAATGATCCAATCAAATCAATTGATCAATCAATCAATTGATCCAATCCAATCAATTGATCCAATCAAATCAATTGATCCAATCCAATCAACTGATCAACGAATCAATTGATCCAATCGAATCAATTGATCCAATCCAATCAACTGATCAACGAATCAATTGATCCAATCCAATCAAATGATCCAATCCAATCAATTGATCCAATCGAATCAATTGATCCAATCAAATCAATTGATCAATCAATCAATTGATCAATCAATCAATTGATCCAATCCAACCAACTGATCAACGAATCAATTGATCCAATCCAATCAATTGATCCAATCCAACCAACTGATAAACGAATCAATTGATCCAATCGAATCAATTGATCCAATCCAATCAATTGATCCAATCCAACCAACTGATCAACGAATCAATTGATCCAATCCAATCAAATGATCCAATCCAGTCAATAGATCCAATCAAATCAATTGATCCAATCCAATCAATTGACCCAATCAAATCAATTGATCCAATAAAATCAATTAATCCAATCCAATCAATTAATCCAATCCAATCAATCAATTGATTCTTAAATAAATTTCCACTTTCAATTGAACACAAGTTTTAGACTCAATACAGCCGTTTGGGTGGAAAGTACGGAGTTTGTGTGAACACGCCAAGTGAAGTGAAATCGTTTTACTACGCTGGCGGATACACGACTGATGTGGGTAGAAAAACGTTAGAGCATATCAATTTTATTAACACATTGACGACGGTTAGGGCCAGGAGTGACCCTAGATAAAACTTCCACTTGAGACGATTAGGGCCACCGGTGACCGTAAAGTATAATTTCCGTATCATCAGTATCATCATTTACCCCTTCCCCTTCCCCAATTGCCAGCAAATGACAATCTAGGATTAATTCTGGGGTTATCACTCCCATTCATCCATATCGTTTTCGTCTAGTTCTGAATTCGAAGAAATCATTTCACTTTCTGAATCTTGTACATCCTGTACATCTTGTGCATCCTGTACATCTTGTGCATCCTGTACATCTTGTGCATCCTGTACATCTTGTGCATCCTGTACATCTTGTGCATCCTGTACATCTTGTGCATCCTGTACATTTTGTGCATCCTGTACATCTTGTGCATCCTGTACATCTTGTGCATCCTGTACATCTTGTGCATCCTGTACATCTTGTGCATCCTGTACATCTTGTGCATCCTGTACATCCTAACGACACTGGCACCTGACATGGCACCGCACGCACCGTACACTTGTGCGCCGCATTGTGCACCTGACACTTGTTCCTGTACATTTGTGACCTGTACATCCTGTACATCGGATCTTGTACATCATTTCATTCTCAGCGAATTGAATTTCTTTATCCTCATCACTGAAGAGAAAGATGATCTTCGACCAACCTTCGAACATCATCTTTCTCTTCATTGCTCAACATCTAAATTAACAAATTAATGATATAATTTGATTGCAAAAACAAAAGAAAAACATCATTTAAGAAGAAAATGAAAAAAAAAGACACAATCACGCTTTCGGTCTTTAGTTGTTGGCTGCAGATGGAATTCATGTCCCAATTAACCTCGTCGTCAATGTGTTAAACGTTTTCCTTTTCAAATTCATATACTAGGCTGTAAACTAATATTAAACTTATATATTTTTCTATATTTTCAGTAAAATTTTCAACCAAAACTGTGCAGCCGTTTTTTTTGAATTTTCGTTTGAACAAAAGTCGACAAATAAAGGATTTTGATCATATTAGGCGCTCTGGGTAACGTGAAATTTGTGGAAAACGGCGGGATGAATTTTATTGGTAATTTTACTAAAAAATTGAACAAAGATAGACCTTTCTTTGGCATAGAAAGTTAGTATTAGTTCCTATCAAAAAAGTTGCCAATTGCCAGAAAAAAATTGCAAAAGTTGATTCTCGCGAATTTTCGTCAATTTTCGTCAATTACTCGTGTTTGCGCTCTTGAGAAATCCGAAAAACGAGAGCTTTTCCAAATTGCCAACAACGATTTTGAAGAGGAAATATGAATCTTTCCAATGGTTTAGATCTTTCCAATGGTTTAGATCTTTCCAATGGTTTAGATCTTTCCAATGGTGTAGATCTCTCCAATGGTGTAGATCTCTCCAATTGTGTAGATCTTTCCAATGGTTTAGATCTTTCCAATGGTGTAGATCTTTCCAATGGTTTAGATCTTTCCAATGGTGTAGATCTTTCCAATGGTGAAGATCTTTCCAATGGTGTAGATCTTTCCAATGGTGAAGATCTTTCCAATGGTGTAGATCTTTCCAATGGTTTAGATCTTTCCAATGGTTTAGATCTTTCCAATGGTGTAGATCTTTCCAATGGTGTAGATCTCTCCAATTGTGTAGATCTTTCCAATGGTGCAAATCGTACTTCATTTGATGCCGTCAACATTTAACATTCCATTTGTTTAGTGAAAAAGCCCGGTTATTTAGCTTCAAAACTTCAAAATTTAGGGTTGCATTCGTTCTTGTTATCAAGATGCGGTGATGGAAACGTGTGAGTGCATGGATCCACGTTTTCCGATGCCTGAAGGAGCAATTTCCTGTGACTTGAAATCAAGTGAGCTAGTAGTGCAAGATTTTGGAATCAATAGCTCCATAATAGCAATATTAAACTGAATCTATTAAACTATTAAACTATTAAACTGAACAAGTCAAATACTTCGATTCATACTCCAGGAAATTGTGTTGATGGAGTGTCAAGTCGTGGAGATCCGTCTCTCTGGCCCAGTTGTAAATGTCCACTTCCTTGTTTCAACGAATTCTACACAACATCCACCAGTCAAAGTCCTTATGTCACGAATGTAAGATAGAAAACAGTGAAGCGAGTCTTTCTATTCATTTACAGCAAGCTGCTTGCTGGGGATTGCCCGACGACGAGGTCGGGAATTGCACACGAGCTTTACAGGATACGGTCATCGTTGAAGTGAGTGCAGTCAATCGATTTCTTTTATATATCAATACTTTACTTATTTAAGCCTGAAAAAATGAAAACGGAAAATGTTTAATTGAAAAAATGATACAAAATAAACTTATTAAACACAAAAAAAGAGAAAAATTGATTCTATTCAAATTAAAATTCGAATTTCTTAAATAAATAAATGATAAATCTGGATTTAAACATTATCTCCAAATCAATTTACGTAAATTTCTAAGAAACAATAATGTTATAAGAAAATAAGATAAAAGAAAATGCCTAGAAATGGAAGAAGGCCAAATTAACCGACTAAATTCAAGACTTTTGCGTTTTTGCATAGAAGTCTAATGAATTTAACCGGTTTGTATGATTTTGAAAAGTATAAAAAGACTTTGATTTACTTATGCTTTGGCAACAAATTCCAAATTCTAGGAACTATTGGGAAAGAAATTGAGTGAAGTCTCACTTAAGGATTTGACGGGAAGAAGTTTATGGAGTAATTTGGGTTCATTGAAAAGATCTTATCAAGTAAACTTAGAAAAGAAGGCTTGACTAGATTTTTGCCAAACCCAAAGTTTAGGTAACAGACACGGGCCTGGATTTCCAACTCTTCGCAGAGACGCCGGCTGCAAGCGTGAGTTTTTCAAGTTACAGGATGTTCAGTATTTACGATGACTTCTTTTTGGTAGACTAGCTCCCAAGCTCCAACTTCAACCCTAACATGTTATATAAAATATTGAAGCTCTTAACCTTGGCTACATTTATCTATTAAAAGTTTCCCGATTCGAGATATACAACTCATTTTACAAGCCCTTGAAGGAGTACTATTAGGTTGTCCGGAATGAAAATACCCTTTTAATGAAAAACAAATCTATCTCCACAAAAAGAAAAAAAGGCGCTGCAATCCAAAAGATATTCTCCGTTGTTGGCAATAGTCTTTCTCCATTTTTCTTTCAAATCTCGGATCCCTTTGCTGAAGAAATCCTGAAGCTGCGAGTCAAAGTATTGGTACCCAAATTCGGACTTCGCCGTGATCCTTGAAGTGTTTATCGGTCAGGAAGTGCTGCATAGATCGAAATAAGCGGTAGTCTGAGATCTGGACTATACGGCGGCTGCGGGAGACATTCCCAATTCAATTCCTCGAGTTTTTCTTGCGTCATCTTTGCTGTGTGTGAGCGCGCGTAATCTTGCAGATATCTCACAGTCGATGCGTTCCACCTTGATTCTTGAGAGCCTGGTCTAAAAGTTCCAGCTGTTGCACATATACATCTGAGGTAACTGTTGGACGAGAATGTAGAACCTCAAAGTGTATCAGACCACGGGAATTCCACCAAACAGATAACATGGCTTTTCTTCCATCCGGATCACGTGGTGGCGTCGTTTTTTGACTGTTCTCCTGGACTTAACCACTTCTGTTTCCGCGATGGGTTATCGTAGTAAATCCATTTTTCATCGGCCGTCACAATAGTGTTCCAAAAACCTCGATTTTTTGATTGACGAAGAAGAATACCGGCCATAGTCGCTCGAGTAGCTTTATTAGCGTCACTAAGTTGATGGGATACCCATTCTCCGACGAGATTCGCTTTACCCAAACGGTGTAAATGGTCCGCAATTGTTGTGTGGCCTACAGCAAACATTTTTGTAAGTTCCCGAGTCGACAAGGTTGGGTCATCTTCTATGGCTTCTCGAAGATCGTCATCGTGGAGGGAGTGACCACGTCCTCGATCCTGTAGAGTTTCGTCTCCCTCTCTAAATCGTTGAAACCATTTTTTACAAGCTTCCTCAAAATAAGCAGCTTCTCGAAAAAATTTCAAGATTGAACTATAGCTCTCCCGGACACTTTTTCCTTGTTTAAAGTCGTAGAGCAAGCACACCCGAATTCGGTACTTCTGATCTTCCATTCGAAAAAAGTCAAAATTGTAAGGCAGTAAATTTTTATAAAAACATAGAGTTAGAAAAGATATATAACTTTAAAACAAAACACTTCTCTCAAATAGTGTTGCACTTATAAATCAACCAGAAACGTTTTCTAAATCAGTTTTTCGCGAGGAATTCGAATTTCTTACTTTTAAAATCGTATCCTTTATCTAAAATTACCAAAAATGCAGAAAATACAAGCACGGAAACCTTTGGCGCACCCTGTAATCAAATCTTCATCCTAATCTTACAATGCTAACGTTTATCTGATGCTTTTGATTCAATTTTGATTGATTGGTTTAATATTGAAGTAATAAGTAAGACAATAAGTGTCATAGTGTGATATCAAAGCAAAGCAAGCTTTCTTTTGAAAGCATTTGAAAGCAAGCTTTCTTTCAGTTCAATCAATTCATCGGTCAATTGGGTGGTTTGCTCGGCGTTTTAATGGGTGTCAGCTGTATCACTTTCATCGAATTCGCCATTCTCATCGCTTACATTTGTCATATTTGTTGTTTTGCTAAGAAGAAAACGTGATTTTAGATATTGATTATCGTTAAAATTTTGTATAAATTTTAAAACAAAACAGTTTTAGTTGAGTCGGTTTCACAAGACTCGAGGCTAAATATTACAATCAACAAACAAACGAGACAATAACTCACGATCGAGAGATTTTAGATCAGTGCTTGACAATGTGATTTGATTGACAAGACTCAGAGCTGAAGATTTTCGAATATATCTCATCAAAGAACAACTTACGGTCATGACAATCTGAATTACTTGACAATGTTACATGTATGCTTGAAAAGAGAATCAATATTTCTAAAAATCCATTTCCAAGAGTCCATTTTCAAGAGTCTAACAATCCATTTCCAAATTCTTCCAGCTTTTCTTATCAAAACATAGGCGAAGCTTACGCGAACTGGCGAACCGTGAGAAAGCATTGGGAAAATAGTCACGAAAGTCTTGTTTGGGAAACTTTTGGGAAATGAATGAAACTCGATTCTCGATTCATTCAACTCAGAGACATTCAGATAACTCTTCAATTTGACAATGTGGCTTGAAAAGAGATCTCAAAGCACTTCGTTGACGAATCCTTCAGGAAAACGAACGGAATTCACGTTTCTCTTGTCGCGAAACTCGACTTTGTTCAACATCGTGCTGTTCATCCATCAAGCTTCCCCAATATCGAGCTGGTTTCATTTGAGTCTGAATATTGATATTTCATAAGCAAAAAACTAGTTTCCTCAACTAAAAATTGAGTTGCGAGCGTCATTTTGGGTTTTCCTCACAAATGGTTGCTGTTGAGGTGTCGCCCGGCCTCCAAACATTTCCAAATCGTTTTTTACGCAATAAAATACAATAAGAAACTGTTTTAGATAAAGAATTGGGAATGGTGACAATCAGAAGCTCTCAGAAAAATATGGTGACAATCAGAAGCTGTCAGAATAATATAGCTTCAATCAAAAGCTATCAGAATAAAATGGCTTCAATCAATAGCTTAGACTTTCTAGTGTCTCTATAAAGTTGAATTCTTCCTGATTTTCAGTATTTCGCCTGTCAAGGTGCCATCCTTAACGCCAACGACGATGATGTGGAGGGGAAAAGTCTTTGCCTGGACATACCACGAGCCAACCTTTCTGCCCATTTTCCTATGATCGATTCAAGCACTCCTGTCCGTGTGGATGCGTGTAAATTCACAGTTGAGATCTCCCGATAAGCACTACGTTTTCGATTGGCATCCCAAGTACAATCGGTGATCGGCGGCTGTATGTCGGGCAGTGGATTCAAGGTTTGTATTTGGGCAGTTCGAAAGTTCTGAGAAATTTTGAAAGAAGTAACAAGTTTTTATGAAACTTTAAACATTGGAAATCTGTTGTAGGTGGCGCCGGGTCTCGGCCGAGCGCTGGCGAATCTGGCCGCAGGAAACGAGTCCCCATTTGATTTGTCGGTGTTCAGCTTGAAGCGATTCGATCAACTCAATCAACACTAAATCACATGTATCATTTGAATTTCTAAATAAACTTTCTAAGTCTTTGTAAGTCAACTTTGCTTTCTGAAATTCACACATTAGAAGATTAGAAGGAAAATAGACAAATCGAATCAGCAAAAATCAAAACATCAAAACATCAAATCATTTTTGTTGTTTAAAACAAACTTTCGATTCCAATGCTTGATCATAGCTAAAAGTAGAGTAAAAATGCTCAAAAATACTTGCAACAACTTTTTGATAGCCTCTCAGAAGAGTTCAAATTCGCACCGTCCAGCTTGAATCCACGACGGCTAACATTTTTTTGTGAGATAACCTTATTTGAAAGATTCTTGATGAAAGCCACGCCACCGGTTGCGGTCTTTTTCGACTCTTCTCGATGATCCAAAACGAGTTTATGATCCTCCCTTGGAGTTGTGACGCGTGGGCGACCTGTTTTAAGCTTTCGATGACGATTTCTAGTGGCATTTGCGTTGTGTGTGATGCGTTCAACTGTCCTCGAACCGCATTTGAATTTTCCCGCGATGTCCTTTTCTTTCTCTCCTCTATTTCTTGCTTCCGCAATTGCTTTTTTGTCTGGCATTTAAAAATACGCTACAGGCGTCTGAAAAATTAAAAGGTTACAAAATACACAAAAAAAAAACGAGTATTATAATAAGTGGCCAAGACTTTTGTCCATTGTTTTTGTGACTTTTTTGTCATTTACGCTCATTTTTGTTGTTTAAAATAAACTTTCGACTCCAATGCTTGTTCATAGCTAAAAGTAGAGTAAAAATGCTCAAAAATGGTTGTAACAACTTTTTTATAGCCTCTCAGAATTTTTCGTTCGGTAAGAGTATAGTTTATCCCCCAACCACCGGTCCATAAGACATATTTTTCTGCGGTAATTTTATGCGTAACTTACAAAAACTTACAAAACTACAACTTACAAAAAGGTAACTCACAAAAATCGACATCTCAAAGCCGGGCCTTGCCTTTTTAGAAAATCCATGTAATCCCCACATGATGATTTTTCATCAAAAAAAATATGCTTTCCCAATTTTTTATCTAAAACAGTTTCTTATTGTATTTTATTGCGTAAAAAACGATTTAGAAAAGTTTGGAGGCGGGGCGACACCTCAACAGCAACCATTTGTGAGGAAAACCCAAAATGACGCTCGCAACTCAATTTTTAGTTGTGGAAACTAGTTTTTTGCTTATGAAATATCAATATTCAGACTCAAATGAAACCAGCTCGATATTGGGGAAGCTTGATGGATGAACAGCACGATGTTGAACAAAGTCGAGTTTCGCGACAAGAGAAACGTGAATTCCGTTCGTTGTCCTGAAGGATTCGTCAGCGAAGTGCTTTGAGATCTCTTTTCAAGCCACATCGTGAAATTGAAGAGTCATCTGAATGTCTCTGTGTTGAATGAATCGAGAATCGAGTTTCATTCATTTCCCAAAAGTTTCCCAAACAAGACTTTCGTGACTATTTTACCAATGCTTTCTCACCGTTCGCCAGTTCGCGTAAATCCAGAGCTTCGCCTATGTTTTGATAAGAAAAGCTGGAAGAAATTTTTTTCTTTTCTAAAACTTGGACACTTTTTCAATGTAGACTCTTGGAAATGGACTGTTTCGAAATATTGATTCTCTTTTCAAGCATACATGTAACATTGTCAAGTAATTCAGATTGTCATGACCGTAGGTGGTTCTTTGATGAGATATATTCAAAAATTTTCAGCTCTGAGTCTTGTCAATCAAATCACATTGTCAAGCACTGATCTAAAATGTCTCGATCGTGAGTTATTGTTTCGTTTGTTTGTTGATTGAAATATCTAGCCTCGAGTCTTGTGAATCGAACCGACTCAAACTGTAAACCATTCTATCATCTCTTTGTTTCCATGATACTGTCGGATTTTGGCGACGAAAATGTGGCGGCACATCTAAACCTCTTGCAGAACATCTTGAATCCGTGTATTCAATTGAGAAAGACAATGAGTGAAAAGTAAATTTAAAGGCATTTCCCTAGATCATCAGTTTCAACAAGAATTCAGTATTGAGGCATTTCATATGGCAATCCCAATTTTCGCCTGACTTGTGCAAAGGAAATTTCAGCGAATTGGCGATGCCCATCATTGGCAGCGTTCTTTGGGCAGAATCCTACATTGGTTCTCTTGATGACATTCAACGTCTCACCGAATTTGCTCAGTTCAGCATTTATCCAAATGGGCACGTTTCTTTTGATTGTTGTTTTTGGTGTGAAAACTGGGTAAGACAAGCCTTCTGATAGCTCATTGGCAAAGTGCTCGTTCGGTAAGGGTGAGACGGCGAGTTTGATTCTTAGCCCCAACCGTAACCGTTGAGACGCTAAGATACAGGAACTGTTCGCTTTTATATTTTAATTTTACTTAGCAACTCGTCTAATCATTGTTCAACAAGGAGCCGAACTTGATGATTTGTTGGTCAAAATATTTAGGGAAGTAGAGACAAATTTCTTTAAATTCCCTCAGAATTTACGGAAGAAAGAAAGAACCTTTTTTTCTCAGAAAAATACTATTGTTGAGCAGATAGTTCAACTTGATGATTGGTTGGTGAAATTTGCAGAAGAAAGAAAGAACCTTGGGCTTATCTTTTTACAAATTCTCTTTATATTTATTTTACTTTGATTTGAATTGTTTACCAATACAATTAGATTCGACTTTCAGATCCGACTCGATTTCCGCGGCTGAGAATTTCATAACTACAGTAATGCTCAACGACCCAACAAGGAGAACCGATCAACAACCCGTTTACTACTTCATCACTGACATTTCCACAAAGGACAGTGGGTTCTATGGGGAGTTGACTTGAATGTTTTTATTCAGTTAAACACTACTATTCCTCTTATTTCACACGAATACAGTATTTATTGGATCAAGCTGTTTGGAAATATCCTGATGCTAATGCATTTCCCATCTACCGTTATATCTTTACAAAGGTATCCATTCAAAGCAATTCTATTCACTGATATCTTTGAAATCACTCTTTTTTTGGCAATTGCAGCCTGATCTTATCGATAGTGCAACGAAAGTAATCTTCGAGGAAATCAAAAAGAATTTGTATGGACGATATTTTGGTTATGTAAGTTGAACAAGAAATCGTTTTGGGTTCGCGGTGGAATCTCGGGATTTATTGTGGTTGTATCTCAGTGGTAGATTTGGATAGAAGACATTTATCAGAAATTCACGGGGGTTTATAGGGCCAATCGGTCCAATCGTCCGATCCAGTTTACAGGTTCAATCGTTCAGAGAACAGAGAGTTAGAGATTAAGAAAATAATAAGGAGGCGGGAATTAAAGGAATCGAGGGGAATATGTTGAGATTTACGATTACGATCTCGAAAGAGAAGGGAAATTCTAGGATCTTAGAAGAATTGTGTTTTAACAGAAGTTAAATCGTTCAATTCGAAAGATCAAAGAAATTGAGAGAGTTTAGAGAAAAGAATACCTAATTTAAATTGGAAAGGTAGCATTTCAGAACAGGATGAGCTAAAGCGCATCTTGTTCGGAAGCCTCTCTTGGAAAGGCGAGAGTGGAAAGTAAAGAATTACAGCGCAAACTCAAAACGGTTTTCCTGTCAGAAAATTGTGAGTGAAAAGAGTGAATTGCTAGGAATCGAAAGATTTCCTCGTTGATGACACAATTGGAGAGAATTACGGTCTATGCTCGGCTTCAACCATACCACCCACAACAACAACAACAACAACTACAAGAACTATTGCCACTACTACCACTACAACTACAACTACTACTTCTGCTACTACTACAACAACTTCTGCCACAACAACGAATCCAACAACTACAGTTTGTAAGTTTAAACGAATTGAAATTTTGCAGGAAGTGGAACAAGAATTTAGCCCCTTCAACGCGAATGTCTACTTCAACACTTTTCATTTACCTGACATTCAAATATTTGTACGAATTTTGATTCTTTTCCATTTCTTCATAGAGTTTCGAAAGAATCTCTGAGCACAAATTACTAAATGTCTTCCGAATAGATTCTCATTCCAACAACCTTCCATTTGATCACTTCTAAACATTCCACTTCATTCTATTTCAATACTACTGCAATCTTGAAATTCGTGTCTGAAAACCGTTTTATTTCTTTTCCCTTTTTGGTTGGATAAACATTAGACAACAGAATCAGTAAAAGCGTATTTTTGTATGAAATTGCAATATAATAGTAAAGATTTACTCCCTTTATAATGACAAGTTAGAAACGTTCATTTGAAGTTGAATTCTTCAACTCATCAGCCACTTCAACAACAGCTTTTTTGTAGTAGTTTTTGCTGAATTGAGAGAGTTTCTTGAAAGAGTCAATTCTTTGAAATCGTTTACCTGAAATGCAAATATTTGTACGAATCTTGATTCTCCTCCATTTCTTTGTAAAGTTTCGATCGAATCTCTGAGAAATTCGGTCTTCCGAATGGATTCTCAATCCAACAATCTTCCATTAGATCACTTCTAAACATTCTTGCATTTCAAACATTTGTCATCCACGTGTTCAACAGACTCTTCAACGAACAAGTGCGGACTAATGAACGGAACTCCATCCCATCAATCTCAGCCAATGAACCCACATCAACCCGGGTGTCCTTTCCGGCTTCTCCATTCGTTTCCCCTTCTTCAACTGTTCCAAGACTTCTTCTTGTTGTATTGAATGAAATGGAGTTCTCCCAAAAGAATACATTTCATAAAGCAAAACGCCGAATGACCAACTGAAAAGAGAAATCTATTAGTGGAGAAAATGTGGAATTTACACGTCAGACTTCGATGAGAATTGTGCATATTCAATAGCCTCAGGAGCCATCCATTTCAATGGTAATTTTCCACCTCGAGACTTATAAAACATTTCACTACTGAAACGACATAAACCAAAATCCGAGAGCTGAAATTTGAGAACATTCTTTTCGAGAACACTTCGAAGACTCACCTTGGCTGTTTTATTTTTATTAATGAGAATATTTCGAGCAGCCACATC